AAAGAGATGATACTTTATTGGAAATACTTCAATAATATGGACCAATATGGGAAAAAGCAGGGATCTATGCGAAGTTCTTTTGTCGACTAAAAGTGTGGACATTTCGAAACCAAGACCATGCTAGCAGTTAGATTGAGAGAGATTAAAAACAAAGAATCTACAGTCTTGAATGACTTAATAAATTGATGAAACCTATGCTTGAAACAAGTATGGCTCTGTTGAAGATGACCTTTGAACGATAATTTATCGGAAGTTCGATAATGAAGGTAAAAAATATATTTTTGTATACAGTTTTCTGTGATATGTGAAGTTCGAGTAGTCCGGGTTCAAACATCGATTATTGAAACAATGTTGATTATTGTAAGCTTATGTAGACTACTTTTTGCCGAGAAGCTTTCAGTTTACTTTTAATTATAATTTTAAACTTCATCCAACGGAACAAAATCTACCGAAGTCAATATAATAGTACGAACTAAATTCTCATAAACATACTCTTTATAACATTTGTTCGCATGTCAACAAAACTGTTGTAGCTCACATTCCCTAGAACAGAGCATCTACCTTTGAAATAGCAGTACTAGATAATCATTTTCAGCTTCTATATTGCTATTGGAGCTCCGCTATTAGGTGTTACCTAATTTTTATATTACTATGTTATCTAGTTGGCTTTTCCGCATTCCTCGTAAAGGCTTTCAGTTTATATCGATACTTATTCGACTTTAGCGGATTCCAAAAAGTTATTTGCTGCAGGAAAATATCAATTATCAACAAATCAATGAAAAATACTTTATAATTAAATCGTTATATTATTGCCTTTTTACGTTTTAGCTTTCAAAAGCCCATCGCTGAATGCTTAGTGTGAGCATATCAAGTTTTTACTGGATTTATAATTCTGAACTCAGTTATAATAAATAAATTTCCATCAAGTGTTAGTCACCTGGTTGTAACAAGGCCAAAAGAAGGCAAGCAGCAGCAATCACGACCACAGGTTTCATTTTAGGGATGGGCTGATAGCTTGGTACTCTCGTCAACAATTAAGCACAGCTCAGTATCGGGGCCTCAACGACTGATCATCTAGTCTGTGTTATTACTATGTATACTATCGTACCACACCCTAATTTATTCTGTCAATCATTCCTTGGTTGACGTTGCACTTATTGTTTTGGCTTTCAAACTGTCATTTCTCAATGGGTTTCTGGTCTACGTCGAAGCTAGGAGGACTCAGTTTTCCGAAATAAAGATGTGACGCTTTTGCCTGTCATGTTGGCGGATAGGCAAAACATCGCAAAATAACAAGAAAACAGCGAGAAATCGATGTCAAATAATTCCTATTGTATTCCAATTCTGAGAGAAGCATTTATTGCAAACGTTACATATTACAAAAAGGAGCACATTTCTCAGTAACTTCAGGGGTCATCGGGGCTTGACGTGCTTGAAAAATACAAAGAAAAGTATGAAGAAGTAAACATTAAAACTGAGTTTACACGCTCCCTAGATGAACTAAGTCCTTAAAAACTGGCCGGTTAACTCCTTTATGCAGTATCTAACCTTTACAATTAATGATTTATTCAGAATTGGATTGAAACGCTATAAGACTTTGCCTGAGCGGAAAAATCGCGTGCAAAACCGTCACTTCAACTGTTATTCATATATTTGAAAAAGAAATTTAAAACAAGAGCTAACTTTTAAATCACTTTTGTAAGCATATATTTCAATTGCAATCCACCAATCACGTGTACTACAACCTTGAAAATGGCTGCTTAGGCCAAAAGCTCGGTTAAAAATAAATCCATTTTACACAGAGGACTCAAAAGGAATAATATGCCTGTATACAAAGAAATTTTTATCACAAATGATGTTTATTCTCGAGTAAGTCAAATAACCATCGAGTTAAAACTTGAAAGCTTGTATGCAGAATGCGGAAAAACTGAACAAGATTAGCATAATAAGCCATAATCTTTATGCATCTCAGTAATAACCAAGGTTTGGACAAATTGGAAAAAAAGTTATGTTGACGATAACAGTGAGAATATAATGATGATTTCATATACTAGGAACAGTGCAAAGAAATGAAAATGATAATGTTTCCGCGACATGAACAAGTCATGTTTGGTATTCGAATGCATACGAATTAGAAACGGAGATCGTTTTCGAACGATATTTCGTTGTGATTGCAAGCTTTGACCAGATATCGTCCGTGATCACCAAATAAGAATCTAGTGGAATTAGTTCGTATCACACTTAAATATATGTGGTCTAGTTTCGGTTTGGCTTCGGGTTCAGAGAATGTCGCACTGCAGCGCTTCACCTAAAGGTGTTGAAAAGTGCTGTCTTATTCAGTACTTTTTCAAAATGAGCTCATTTAAAACTTTTCTTGTGTTTGACCAACCATGTAATATACTGTCTTTCGCAATTTTCAAAAATAGTTCGACCGAGTTGACGCTCTAAGGAGGGTCTGGTTTAGATGTAAAGAATAGTGCTACCAAAGACATGCAGTTCATCTATACTTATAAGAAGTAACTCCTTGTTGATTACTTTTCATGTAATATTTTAAGCAGCTTTTGAAGGAACTAGATATACAATAATTTTTGACAAATCTTTAA